CATGTCTCTCTCTCTCTCTCTCTCTCTCTCGCTCTCTGTCTCTCTCTCTCTCTCTCAGAACCTGGCACTGGGCGAGACATCAATGCCTCAGGCTGCGTCTGTCAATCATTCTGGCTCCTCCTCCTGTCTGTTCTCTCGGCTCTTCTGAAGTGTTAATGTTCATCGCAGACACTCTGAACGCGATCGATCGTCTCAGACTGTTTCCATCCGTCCATCCACGCTCACCATACGCCCCGGCAGGACGACCGTCTTATTATCAGGAAAAAATATGACATGGAGAAAAGAAAGAAGGTGCTCTTTTTAAGACAAGAATATTGTCGTTTAACCGGTTCAAGCACTTAATTCCAGTGACGCCCGTCTGTCTGTCGTCTGAGTGCATGTGTGTGATTTACCACAGAAACCCAGAGCGAAATCATCTAGAAAAATGGTTCATTTCATTGTGTTTTCCCATAATACCCTGCAGCCTGTTCCCAAATCTGCCTAATGTAAACTAATGAAGGAGCGCTAGAATCACGTAAAGTCCTTTAGATGTGGTTTAAAGCTAATGACTAGCAGAAAGGACTGAAACACACGGTATTTTCTGCTGAATCTTCATCATGAAGATTCTCCGAGATCAGATCACGTTTGAGACGCTCACGTCCGTCTGTGTTTGTGATGATTGATCGGAGCATCTTTAACAGATGCAGAACAGACCCCGCCCCTAAACCACTTCCACATGTGTAGCTCCGCCCACACACACACTAAACCCCTCCCATACGTGTAGCTCCGCCCACACACACTAAACCCCTCCCACTCCTGGCAGATCTGCAGGTGTTTCTTCAGGGTTCCTGTGAAAACCTGGATCATCTGAGAACTCTCTCTCTTTCGTGAAAAACTATTGTTTTGTAGGGAAACCTGTAGAATTCTGTGGAATGATTTTTACCGTGGCAAAGCGTGAGATCCGTCCAGACCCTCGTCTTCTGCGTGTCTGTGAAATCGTATGAACTCTGAATTGTACGACACCAATGAATGCTTGGCTTCGATCCGCTGCTCATCCCGTCGCGTCTGTCGTCTGTAAATATTCTTTTGAATCGAATGTCCTCACATGGAAACGAAACGAATCTTCGGTTCAGGTCTCTTCATAAGTAGTTAATTATCTGCGGTGGCGCTTTGCTGCTTCCTGTAACAAACTGAAATCAGATACTAAA